TATATATATATATAATATTATTTGTAGATTTAACTTAATAATTCATAAAAAAAGTTAAATGTGTAAGCATACACTTAGGGCAACTACATTTTCTTAAAATAAAATAATTGCAGTAATATTATGAGAAAAAACATAAAAAAAAAATTCATATATATAGTTGAACTTTTCAGTGAAGGTGGATATATTTTCCTTCTCTGCGAATGTGTTACAGTCTTTGTGGTTCTTCTTTTACTATTTTCTCGCCTTCCTGGATTGATTTGTGGATTGTTTTTGCTTCTCTTTATGTTTTGATAGACATGTCTTTTTTGGCTTTTCCCGTTCTTTTTGGTTTACTAAGTCTCATGTTTTTATGACTTACAATCCTTTCTTTGTTTTGACTTTGCGTTGTAATGCGGAAAGAAGAACACCTAGAACTTTAATGTTTTTTTTGCTTTAGTGGAGATCCTCTTTTCTTCCCTCTTTTTGTACCTTATTTTTATATTAACTCGTAGTGAGCCACGAGTTGCTTTTTGTTTTAAAAAAATAAAAATATATATATCTAAGTGCTTTAGAATTGTGTGCTATGTATGTAAATGCTGGGTTAGATACACAAATATATAAAAATTGTGCGGCATTTATGTAAATACCGTTAAAACTATATACATTTTACAAAAATGACTTACAAAAAATAGAAAATAGTTATAAACAAATATGATTTGGCTCTCGCGGCGGCTTTCAGAAAGGAGGAGCGGAAGATGACTCTAGCGGCCACAGAAATTGACGGTCGAGATCTACGCATACACGTTCCTCGATGCAAAGAGAAACAATGGAGAAGCCCCACCAGCTCCTCTCTACGGCTCGAGGGCCGCAACAGGTCAGCTCCTCTCCCTGTTATTTTCGAAGATACCATTGTCCTCACCGTGGGGTAATCGTATCCCACGCACCCGGTCCTCTGCTCCATCGGCATATGGTTGGGCAGCCAGGTTTCAGGTTGAAACTAATTCTGCGCAGGAAAGTCGACATCATGCACAGGAAGAACGAAATGGCCGACCGAGTCTGCAATATCTCCGACATCATACACCGCGTAGCCTCCTCCTGCCTCACACAACCGCTGGCCGGCGCGGCCACCGGTCAATTCATGAACGGCGACGACGACGAAGAGCAGAGAGAAGAAATGGATTCTGACAAAGGGCTCGGGATCTGGGAAGAGGAAGAAGTGGGAGAACATAGGGGCACTGCTATGGGTCTATTGAATAAGCTGGGAGAAATGGAGGCCTTCATGATCGAAGTTTTTAATGCTGCCTCCGCAGTCAAGAAGGCGTACGTGGGTCTCCAGGAGGCCCACTGCCCGTGGGATCCGGATAGGATCCGTGTCGCCGACGCTGGGGTGGTTGCAGAACTGAGGAAGCTCGTACGCCTACGGGATCGGTTTCGGAGGGAAATCTCCGGCGTCGGCGGCGGCGACGGCGGGGGGAGAAGAGTCGGAAGAGTGCCGATAAGGGAGGTTGTTGCGCCGTACGAGGCGGCGCTGGAGGATCTCCGGCGAGAGATCAAGTTTAAGGAGTCGGAGATTGAGAATCTCAAGGAGAAGCTGGTGAGAAGTGGACGCGCAGGTCGAACCCATTCCAGCAAGAGAGTCGGATGCATCAGTGGTTTAGGTCAGTGATTTTTTAATGATTAATTGATGCCTTTTTTGAGATTTTATGTATTTATAACCACTTTAATTATTTTGTTTCGTATATATATATATATGTATGTATATATATATATATATATATTATATATATATATATATATATATAATAAGAATATAAAAATTCTGACAATCAAATAACACTTGATTAAATGAAGGCTGTAAGTGTTCACGTGGAGCTAGTTTTAATATCTATTTTGATTGGGGGAAAATAGATGAGTATAGCCTATTCATATTCTTTAATTTAGAAATATTTACAGTGTTAGTGGATTGGTCTATCTTCTCCAAAACTCCAATGAGAGGCTGCTGAGGAAAGCCTATGCACGCTATTTTAGTTTGATGGCTTAGGATGTCAATGAAGGGGGTGTTTGGTAGTGGCCCTTTAACAGGAAATACGCCTGTTTAACGAATTTGGCATAGGAAGAAAACACGTTAAATGCATTTATGTCAAATATGTGTAAAATGATTTAAATTGGATTTTGAACCAAACATTATTTTAGATCTAACATCTGAATTTTATAAATTTAAATTTACTTGTGTGCATAAAAAAGTGTCAGCACGAATCACAACGACATCTCACAGATGGTAAGAAGGGTGAAGCGACCTCACAGGCCCTACCATGAATAACTCGAGAATATCTGCCCAATCAGATGAATCTTTATGTCATAGGAGCAGTGCGCCTCAAGCGGAAGCGGAAAATCTCCTATGAATGATCCATATGATCTGAACCAATAGGACGAGACCACCATCCAACCAAAATGGCAATCCGTCATATATTACAGACCCACGGTTGAATTTATTTATGGACCAAAGTGCCCTCGCCATACCTATGTACCGTAGGGGTACAATATGTAATTGTATTAAGATTTCTTTCTATAAATAGGGGTTACATTTCATGAATAAAGATTACACAATTTTCACTATTCAACACAGCTTTATTTCCATTTCTCTCTCTCCCATCTCCTTCGACCTCTGGCGCTCTATTTCTTAGGTGTGTCTCCCAAACAAATTTGAATTCAACGCCCTAAAAAGAGGAGCTTCTCTGGTCTACCACGAGCTGAATCAGACGACGCCTCTAACTTTTCTTCTTCAATCTTCTTCAAACTTTTGGCCAGTTTTTTCGTCGATGGTTTGCCCCTAGAACAACAAGGTTTAATCGCAAGGGTGGCGAACATCCTAGCCTTGTCAACTGATTTCAACACAAAATCAGATCCCTCCTACACGACAAACAATGAATAAAAGTCCGAGAGAAGAATAAATTCTACATGATTGAGCAACCCCTAATATTTTTCTATAAAATTAATATTGACACAAAAATTCAGAGAGTTTATTTATGAAGTCAATAACTGAATGTTGATATAAGATTCATTTTGCCTTCATTTTCCTTTTTGTTAAAAAAAAAGAAAAATGAAAAAGAGGCAAAAGGGTATAATAAAATTTTCATTGTCCTTGTTGTAGCTGTCACTTTTAAGGAATAAGAAAAAATTGATAACTTAATATATGTATATATACATAAAAAATTGTCAGCGCGAATCGCGAAGACATGTCACAGACAGTAAAAAGGTTGAAGCAACCTCACAAACCCTACCATGAATAGCCCGGAAACACCGACTCAACTAAACATATCTTTATGTCATAAGAGTGCACCTCAAACAAAAGGGGAAAATCAACATTGAAGGATCCATTTGATCGGAACCAGTAGGACGATACCACCACCACCCAACTCAAACAGAACATGAAGTAGTGGTGGTCTCCAAAGCCCCAGGGGTGGAAACCCAGGCTCCTAGCAAATGGTTGGCAGGCCTAACGACCATTCGACCACGCAATTTCATGAATAAATGTTACATAATTTTCAATGTTCAACACGGCTTTATTACTTTTTCTCTCTCTCCCCCATCTCTTTCGACTTTCACAGCTCTATTCCTTTTCTGGAGAGATTTGGATTCAACAATTGGATTTTACGAAATTTAATTTAACGTAATCCTGATTACAGCCAAACACTTCAAGGGTAGGAGGTCAAAACCTTGTATATGTGATGTTCATGAATTTACGATTAAATTTTATATTAAGATTCATCATTCAATTTATTTTCAATGCCTGGTTAGATAGATGAAAATGGTAAAACAGTTGGTCATCTTTTTTATTCTATACATATGTTCATCAAAAACTAATGTTCAGAAATTTCAATTTCTCCAGGATCGCCGGTGGCGCCAACGCCGGAGCTATTCGAGTCCTGCATGGATCAGGTCAAATCAGCCTCCAAATCCTTCACAACTCACCTCCTCTCCCTGATGCGCGTCGCCCGATGGGACCTCGCTGCGGCGGCCCGATCCATCATCGACGGCGGCGGCGGCGGCGCAGATTCGCCCACCGGAGATCAGCCCCCACCGACTTACATCCCTGAGGTGGAACCCCGGCACGCGAGGCATGCTCTTGAATCCTACGTGAACCGAAAACTATTCCACGGATTCGAGAACGAAACCTTCTACCTCGAAGGATCATTAAGCTCACTTCTCCGACCGGCAGAGTTTCGTCAAGGCTGCTTCTCCCAATTCCGCGACATGCGCGCGATGGAGCCGGCCGAGCTGCTCGGCAT